ACTAGGGGAGAGACTGAGGACTGTGGGGACTGCAGCGTCACACAGAGCGAGATCACAGGAGGCCACCGGGAGCAACCAGCGAGGGAAATGCTGAATGTCACAGCAGCTTAGCAACCAGGAACTGACCTTTGGGGAAGAGAGCACAGCGCCAGTGATTATGCCGGGCTTAACACTTCCCTCAACCACAAGGCCTGGAGTTTAAGCCCTGGCTCTTGTCCTCAGGGGGGCCGCAGCAGCCAAACATGCTTAGTGAATGTGGCGCAGTGATAAACTAGGTTTGTGCTAATACCTTTGATTCCAGCCCACTCGCTGGAAGGTTGGTATTTTAAGCATCCTTTTGATCTACTGCGAGTCCCTAGTAAGAGCCATCCAATAAACACTGTGCTTAAGTCAGAAATGTTAACAAGAGCCCCAGGACCCTGATCTTCTGCCACGTCACATGCCACCTGAGCAAAGGGCGAGGCAGACCAGGTAGTCAGAGAGGTGCCCCTGGGGCTCACAGTAGCCTTAACCAGATAAGGCTGAGGTTGCCCACGCCTAGTTATCAGCTCAAACATTTTCCAAAACAGCCTAGGTTTCCCCGGGGAGACAGCTTTGATGGTTCCATTTGTTTGTGCACAGCGAGCTCCAGCTTGTCCAGAGGGCTGCATTGTTCCTGTGCTGGGGACTGCCCCCTGGGGCTCTGACACACCTTCCCCCAGGCCCTTCCAAGTCCCCCTGGACCTGGGCTTGGCTGGGCAGAAACTTCCGCAAGGCCTACCGTGACCCACAGGGGTGGGGGGAGGCTGCCGTGGCTCGGAGGAGTTGGGCAGGGAAAGCTAGAAGCTAGTTGGCTCCTCTGCCCTATGGTCTGGGCTTTCAAAACCCGTCTGGCAGGCTGCCAGGCCTGGGGCGGGGGCAGTGACTGACAGGCTGGTTATTGGAAAGCTCCCATCATTAACCCACGAATGTTGTTTGGTTACCATGGCGACCTTCACTACAAGTGGCCTGACTAAAGCACAAGGAATCTGTTACCTAAAACCACAGCCCCAAGGAGCCCTGGGCTTCTGGACCCAGCTTATCAGCAGTCGGTTCCCTTTGACCCCATATTCCTGCCCCTCCCCTCTGGGCCTCCCAGCTGCCTCCCATACCCGGGACCAGCAGAAAAGACTAGCAAAGGCATCTCCACGCTTGCATGGGCCCTCTCACATTCCTCCACCAGGCCTGGCTTGCAACCAGGTCCAAACAGGGTGGCTGCTGCCCCCGTGAGGCCCCCTGCAGGCTAGCCAGGACCGCCTGGACAGCACATGTGTCCAGGGCTTAGTTAGAAGCCCTCAGGATTTCAGGAAGCTGCTCAGGGTGTCTGGTTCCCCCCGTGCCAGGGTCACACTGTCCCTGTGGCCATCAGTCTCTGCCTCATCACGTTCCTGCCTTTTTAAACCCGAACTCCATTAACTAAAGGTCATTTTGCAGCACGGAAATCAAGATCTTCCTTGCTTTGCTTTCTAATCCCTGAATTCAGGCAGATTTTCAAAAGTTCAACTCCACGAAAGCTGGGTTTTCTCCTGGAATCTTGAGACTACTTGTAGGAAGAGTGGCCACTTTTGCAGCTAAAAAGCTTAAAAACCTTTCACAGAGTGTCCATGCCCTCCTGCACACACAGGGCACCCCCTCCATCACCTGGCCCACACCACTGCCCCCTCGGGCCCATGTTATAGTCTTACACTGTTTGTGGGCTGCCTTTCAGACTCCCCTGCCCTCCACTGCTGCCCCTCACCACGGCTGTACACCGACTGTAAGACCTTCTCTTGCCTGAGTCTCACCGTAGACTTTGGAAGCAGGGGGAGGCAGGACAGATGTCAGCCTCTTGGCACATGAGAAAACGAAGGCACGGAAAGGAGGAGCATGCTGCTGGAGGGGACACGGTTAAGGGACAGCCATGACTCCCAAGGGGATAAGCTTACATGGAAAGGGGTCCATTGTTGCCAGCGGCACCCTCCCTGGTGCCAGGCTTCCTCCGCCCCTGACACTGACCTGCCCGCCTCTTTCTCTACTGAGCTAGGCTCTGCAGCCTCTAAAAGACCTCAGCCACCTGGGACAGCCGGTGGGGAGGGGCTCCATGGCAGGCAGGCCCAGGCCATGGGCCTTTACGTGCCCCCCGAGTATAGAGACTCTGTTGGGAATGATGAGGTCAGGGTGAAGGGGGTTTGATATTTTTGTTTCACTGCAGTGATATTTACTGGGCCAGTCATTTAATTAACTGCCGTGGCAACAGCCGGAGTCACGCAGCTTGTTCCCCATGCAGGGAGCAGCTGGGGAAGCAGGATGCAGTTTCCATTGAAGAGCAATGACATTTTTCAGTGATCCCTGACCGGTCATGGGCTCAGTGACATTTCCTGCTAATCCTCGGGTTCTGTGCTCCGGGGTTGCATCTGTGGGGAACAGTGTCGACTTATCTGCAGAAGCCACGCTCACACTCCACAGTCATTCCAGAGTCGTGTGGTGGGTGGGTTTCCCAGCCCCACTTGTTTTCAGGTAGATTTTTTTTTTCCTGCCTAAGAAACAGAAATGTGTTCTCTCACAGTTCCGGAGGCCAGAGCCCCCTGTATTTTTTCCAGTGAGTTCTGCAACCTCTTAGGGCTGGTTCAGGCTGAGATGGAGCTCCTCACGGTTGAGGAGAGGGGCACATGGCAGGTTGGAGACAAAGAACCCATCACTGTTTCTGCACCCTGTCGACCCCAAAGTGCAGACTTCCAAAAGTGAGGCACTGTGGGGGAGGGGATGCTCTGGTCCCCAAAAGCTCCATGGCAGGCACCCCTGCAGTGATGACAGAACAGAAGAACCCTGAGGAGGCCTCTGGGGATGGCACTCGAATGCTTTCCTTCCTTAGGCTCAGACCTCAACAGGGTCTTGCTGCTGCCGCCCCATGTCCCCAGCCCCCGAGGCCCCCGTGATGGCTCTGCGGTGTCCGGATGGGGCAGCTCTTTTCCCACGATGGAGGCCGCCCCTGGAGAAGGCTCCCCCCTGCAGAAGTGGGGACACAGCCCACACAGAGGGGCACAGCCATCCCACAGATTGACTAACAGCACAGTCTGCATCAGACTTCTCTCCTGCTCTGGGTGAGGCTCCCCCTGAGGGTCTGCTGAAAGCATCTCCCTGAATGCATGTGCAGCGCAAATCTGAGAGGTCAGGCCCAGATGCCCGCCCGTGGGCCTCCCAAGGGCATCACCAGCCTCACAGCAAGGGCCACCTTCCTTGCCTGCCCATGAGGACACTTCCAGCGAGTGACACATCCTGGGGAAGAATTGAGCCCCTGCCTGAGGTCAGAGGAAGGGGTGGGTGGTGCATCCACTGCCAGTAAGGGAGGGAAGACTGGGGAGAAGACATCTTCCTCACCCAGCCCAAGAGCCGGGGAGGATGGAGGAAGCTGACAAGAGGCAGGAGGCACCTCCTGTGGGTGCACTGGTACACTGGGAGGAAGCTGGGGGAGAACCAGAGGCCCCCCACATCTTGAACATATTCCACTCCTGCTGTGCCTCAAAGAGCATGGCCTTTAAGCAGATTTTCAAAAAGTGGCATTCACCTCCCCATAGCAGGCCAGGGGAGGTGACTCTGCCAGGAAAAAGCTCTCTGCCTAGACATTAGGAAGATGCCAGGAGCTTGGGCCGGGGCCCGAGGAGGGGTGGAACGAGCAGCATATGAACCCCCTTCCTTTGTCTCCGTCAGGACAGCTCTGCTTCCGTCTGCTCACCAGGGTGCTTTGGGGTGGGGGCGGGGGGGGGTGGTGTTGGCCTGAGCTCAGGTGAGCAGGCCGACCTGCAGCATGAATGCCCACCCAAGGCTGTAGGCACTGGGGCTCCCTCTTCAGTGAGACACACTGGGAAGTTTATAGTTAGGATGCTCTGCCATTGCCAAGCCCCTGGGTGTCCTCCCAAGGAGGCCAGAGGGTCAGCCCTGTCGCTGGTGGGCTAGGGATGAACAGAGGTGGTCACCGGGCTCCCCATGTAAAGGGAACCTCCCTGGGCTGAGAAAACCGCAGCTTTCCTCATCGCCTCGCCTGGCTGTGGCACCCACCAACTTCCTCTAATGCTTTGGGAACCTGCTTCATGGGCAGCGTGAGCCACCTCTCAGGGTGGCCAGGACTGCACTTCTCTCTGCCATCTGCAGCAGCACTGGCTGTTCTAAACAGCCCTCCTGCAGACCCCAAGGTTGGACACGGTGGGAGTGGGGTGCTGAGGGGCCCCATCCTGGGATCACGGGATTCAGAGAAACAACATCTGTTATACCCAGCATCACCTGCCTGAGGGGAGGAGGGCAGAAGTCAAGCTGCGCTCCCCCTTGTTCCCTCCTGCAGAGCAGCACACCCCTCTGCCTCAGCTGGCCCAGTATGGCTCTTGTTCCCAGTGTCCCAGCTGGGTGGAAGCAGGTCCTTTGTGTACAGGTGGCGGCGGGAGGGCATCGTCTACCACCTGGGCCAGGTGCAGTGTGCACTCTGGTCCAGAGATGTGCACTTGGGTGATGCTGTAAATAGTGGCGGTGGGGTGTGTGTGGGCAGGATGAAGGGAGAGGCCAGGACCACCCTGGATGGAGAAAACTCCTTCCCTATACTGCCCGCTGACCTGCTTGGAGGCAGGGGGATGGCTCCCTTGAGCCCCACCAGCCTAGCCAGTGTTAGAATCCACCCTTGGCAGGCTGTTCCAGGGTTATGACAGAGTTACACAAGTTAGTGTCCCCAGGAGGCTCCAGTGCAGAAACCAGGGCAGGGAGGAAGCAGCCTGAGTATGTTCCAGCATAGCCCCTTCTATATCCGCACAGCCAGGGTGGGGCCTGCAGGTGGGGCCAGAGCCATTCCCCTACCCTACAGGTCCTCACCCCGCCTTGACTCTCGAGCCGGAGAATGCGCATGCAGTGAGCACTCAATCAGTGTATGTCGGCTGGCTATGTGGCAAGGTGGGGTATGCGTGTGCATCTGCACTGTGCCCAGCCGGCCCCCAGCCTAGCAGCATCCACAGAGAACTCACTTGAAGTTTTCGGGGTGCTCTGAGATGGCCATGTTGATGACATCAAGGGCGTACTGGTAGTGCTTCTGGGCGGAGAAGAGGAGAGCCAGCAGGTGGAGAGAGTTCGCATCATCCCTGCACAACTTCAGGGCCTCCTGCAGCTGCTCCATGGCGCTGGAGATCTGCCAGAGAAAACCGCCAGCTCAGTGACCTTCCCCAAGGCCCACGCCCCACTCCAGGACTTTGGTGCCAGGCGCCATCAAGGGGACACGAGACTCAAGTGAGACCTCGGGTACTGGGGGAGGGGCTGGTGCTCTGGTGAGAACACATGCCCCCAAGTCACATGGCAAGAGGGATCTGCTGCCCCAAGCCAGGCCCAGGAAGCCTCTGCTGTCCCCACCGGTTAGGAGAGAGGCGCAGGTGTGTGGTGCAGCGCAGAAGACCTGGAAGCCGCTGGGAAGCACTTCCCAAGCCCGAGGACTGAGGGCTGTAAGGGGAGGCTGCCAGGCCACTAGCTACAGACCCAGAGGTGGCCAGGCTCTCTTCTCTGAGCTGGCCCACATGGTGACAGGGGCCAACAAATAAATGTGCCTTCTCCTCAGAGGCTCACAGTGGCAGGAGCCACTCTGGGGTCAGGTGGGGTCATAGATTCCAGTTCTGCCAGGTTCCAGCTGGCGCCCTAGGGCCAGGATGTCACCCCTCTGAGCCGCAGCTCTTACGCTGCACAACGAAAACAGCCATGCAGTGGCTGAGGGGGCATGCACAAATGCTCCACAGAGTACCACGCATGTTTGAAATGTGTTTCCTTTTGCAAGCCCTCTACACCTGGCAGTTAATAATCAGGTAGGATTCTCCCTTCTGGTCCTGAGAGACGTGCTGTCTCATGCTCTCATGCCTGCCACTTGCGTCAACTTGTGTGACTGTCCATATCCTCCCAGGAGCCTCGTGAGTCTTTTTAGAAAGATTCGCTTCTTATCAAACCTCAGACACTATAGCCCACCCCCATCATGCTCCCTGAGGGGTCCATGGCGCAGGCTGGCTGGGGCCTTGGGTCCTGGTGGGCCCGGTCCCTGCCTGGTCTCCACGCGGCCTCTGCACAGGCTGTGGGCAGTGCCAGGCCCCAAGTCTTCCCATCGGGACCTCCCTTTGTGGAAAGGTCAAGGAAAGGAAAGGCGGAAGCTAGCGTCTGCCTGAGGCTGCTGCTACCCTGGTGATTCTCCAGGATGGACCCCATCGTCCTGAGCTGGGCATCCCAAATCATAGCCTGCACTGCTTGGGCAGCCATGCGCGCTTAGGGAAGAATGGGCCAGTGGGTCTGCGACCCAGGCAGGCCAGGTTCCCGCTTACAGTCCATTCACGTGTCCTTGGTCCTCTGACGCTACCAAGAGCTGGGGTCCCCAAGAAAACTGGGTGCCAGGCTCCACTGGCCTGGCCTGGCCATCTCTCTGAGACAACAGACGCCATTCATCAGAGGTGGCTGAATAATTAAAGATCTTTAAAAATGCATTACCAAAGGTTTATCATGAATTTGGCAAGAAAAGCACTGGTTCTTTTACAGAGGGCTAAAAATAAAGTGGTCTCAGGTGTCCTGTTGTCCGTACTCCCGGGAGCACCAGGGCAGACTGATGTTCCCGGAGAGAGCGGCAGCAAGGTGCCGAGGGCCTCGCCCAGGACCTGGAAGTCAGGAGCCGTGGGCACAGTGGGTGGGGGGCTAGGACAGTCAGAGGCAGCCTAGACGTGGAGGAGGGGCGAGTGAGCTGGGGGAGGGGTGGGCTGCTAGAGAGAAATGGCTGAGACAGAAAGGCCCAGAGAGTGGGGCAGAGAGACTCAGAAGTAGAGTAAAGACAAGTGACGATTCAGGTCATGGCAGACAGGGGCACGGGGACATGAGGGGAAGGGTCCCAGCGATGACGGTCAGGGTGCAGGGAGGGGGAAAGCCAGGCCGCTGCAGGGTTGAGGGGAAGGAGAAGCAAACAGTGACCTGACGAGTAGAGAGAAACTGCTCAGCGAGCCAACTGGAGGTGAGACCAGAGACGCGGACCAGCGAGACCAACCCCCAGGCCAGAGGACAGGGCCCCAAGTGCCCCGTCTCCAAACAGGACACTGGGGGTTTCTTAACTGGGGCAGATGGGCTCTGGGTTAGACGCCCTAGGTTCAGGGCTGGCCCGGCCAGTGCCCAGGCTCAGGAGAGCCTGAGGTCCTCAGGTACAACATGGGGCCGAGGGCCTCCTCACAGGGTGCAGGGCTCACCCAGGCCAGTGCGGTGGGAGCAACAGCACCCCCATTAGCCAGCACTGCTCGTCGCCCAACCCCGAGCAGGTGGGGCTCTGCTGACTTCTCTCCAATAATATGGAGTCCTGCTGTGTCCCTGCCGGTGCAGGTGAGGGCTGTGCTGCAGGAGGCAAGCCTCGCCTGCTGTCCCCAAGCAGTCCAGGGCCCACGCTCACTGGGCCAAGGCCACCGAGAGGTCCTGCTTCCAAGGCCAGGTGAGGCACAGAGCACTGAGGACCCAGGCACACACGTGGGTCAGTGACTCAAGGGCCTGGGATGAAGTTCTCTTTCCTGAAAGAGAATCTGCTGGGCGGGTGAATGCTCTCACTCTCGGGATTAACGTGGGGAAGGAAGGCGGGCCAGCCTGGAGAGCCACGGGTGGTGGTGGTGGTCCCCATGGGGTGACAGTGGTCAGCGCTGGTGGGAGGCCCCCCCGTCAGGCCCCAGAGGCCAGGCCTGACAGTGGTATCCACAGAGTCAGGGAAAAGCACTCGGCTGCCCTGATCCGTGGAGAAAACTCAGTAGGTGAGGACACCAACAAACGCTTATTGTGACCTGTTGTCAACCTCTCACCAGTCTGACCCGTTCTAGGGGGAATGAAGGCAGAGAATTATCTGCCCACCATGTGCCTGCCCCAGGCCAGAGGCTGTACCCCATTTCCTGACTTGATCCTACTGAGTCGTCTGAGGAGGATTTTGAAGGTGCTCACGTAACAGGTAAGGAAATAGAGGCTCATGGGGGTCAGGTCATTTGCAAAGGGTGGTACAGCTGGTAAAAGCAGTGGTGCCAGAGACCTGGGGGTTAGGAACTGTTAGGACTCACCTGTCGGACGAGGGCCAGCTGCAGGGAGACATAGAGGATGATCTGGGGGTCGCCAGGCGCCAGCTGCTGGGCTCTGTGTGGAGAAAGGGAGCAGCAAGTCAGTCGCCAGGGGCTGAGAGGCCAGCGTGTGACAGGGGCCTCCAGCATGCCAGCATGCTGCGGGGCGAATTGCTGGGGATTCTGCCTGGCCCCGCTTAGAACAGGGCCCAGCCAGGAGGTCACGGCTTGGGCACAAAGCCAGCAGCGGGGGCAGCAGGCTCCTAGAGGGCTGGCTCTGGCTGAGGGGGGGCAGGGTGCCCGGGAGGGGGAGGATTGGGGGCGGAGCCTGTCATCTCTGGGCAGCTGTTGGCCTGCCTGTGGCCCTCCTCATGCAGAGCCTGGAGCTGCCCTCTCCCCCATGGAACAGAAGGGAGCACCTTCCTGAGAGGGGAGGGACTGGGAATGGCCTCTCCAGGCAAGAAGCCTCAGGAGTGAAGAGGTGGCAGGGGATCGAAGGAGATGCCCCTCTATCCTGGCTGCCCAGGATGGGACTGTCCGACCTCCCTGCCTCAGAAGGGAGCCGGATATGCTGCGTGTTCTGAGGAGGCCAGCACAAGGAGTCTGGGGCAGGCCCCTGCCGGCAGCTTCCTCATCGGTGCTAGGGGATGAAGGTGGGGGGGACAAGGCACACCGGGCTGAGGAAGCAGTGGGGAGCGATGCTGGGGGGCGGGGCTCCGGGCTGTGGTGGAGATAGTGCTCAGCCAGCGTGGGTCTGAGGGAGGGAGGGCCGATGCTGGGGGAGGGGCTTCTCTGCTTCCCCCTCTCCCACCCCGCCTTCTGGACCCTGGGCTGCCAGCAAATCTCTGGGGGGTGCTATGGGTGGGGGTTCCTCACAGCCCCTGAATTTTTGAGCTCCTGCTATAGGTAGGGCACTGTGCAAGGTGCTTTTCCTAATTCACCTCAGGTATTCATCACAACACTCATGGGTTATTATTCCCATTTTGGAGCCATGACTCAGGAGGGCTGGGGCTGAGCCTGGGTTGGGGACGGTCCACTGGTGTTAAAAGACTCAACCACCCACCTAACCCCAAAGGCCCGCCCTGCTTCGTGTGCGAGCTCTCAGAGCCTCAGCTTCCTGGTCAATGACACGGGGACAGAGACCTTTGCCCCACCACACCAGAGGGTCCTCTGTGCACTGACCACCTGTGCCTCCACACCGTTTGGGCCCCTCACCTCTCCAGCGTCTGCAGTGCCTTCCGGTGCAACTCGTCCTGCTTGCTTTTCAGAGTGGCTGCCGGAGACAGGGGGAGACAGCCATGAGGGGGCGCTGGGGGTGCCGGCCCCGCCCCACCCCACTGCAGGGCACAGGCTCTGCACCGAGAGGCTCCACTGGGCCCTGTTGGCAGATGCTGGCGCTCAAGCAGCTCCAAACTGATGCTGCCCACTGCTCCGGTTGCAGAGGGGAGGTGCAAGGTGTCCACCTGGCCCCGGCCTCCCGGCGGGGTTCCCACACACCAGGCCCTTCCCCTCCACCGCCTAGGCCAACCTGACCCTCTCCAGGACTGAGCCTGGAGAAAAAGGTTCCCACTTCCATCCTGGCCACATGCCTCGTTGGGCTTCCTGACCTACAAGGCTCCTGCTTCTTTTCCGACCATTTTTAACAAATTTTAAGTGTATAGTTCCACGGCAGTAAGTCCATTCACAATGTTGTGTAACCATCACCGCCATCCACCTCCAGAACTCTCATCACCCCAACAGGAAGTCCACACTCACTGAACGCTAACTCCCTCCCTCCCTCTAGATTTCCGCCCCTCCCACCCCCCCACCCCCCACTCCAGTAACCTCTGTTGCACTTTCAGGGGCCGATGCCTATCCCATGTTTAGTCTAGGGGGGCTGTCACCCCCTTCCCCTCAAGCTCCAAGGAGACAGAAGTAGGTGGCTGCCTGACCCGTGGGGGCCACACTGCTGAGCTGACAGTTCTGGGGAGAGAATGCTAGGCTCTGGGTATAGTAGGAGTGAAGCCCCTCCGCCAAGCACAAGCATTTATTAAACGCCTGCTGGGTACCCAGCTCTACACCACGTGTAGAGGAGGATTCCAAAGACCCCAGAAGTTCACAGCAGTGCTGAGGTTAAAGGTGAACCAGAATGAGGTAGAATGCGGGGTCAGGGCTGGCAGCCCGTTATAGCTGCCAGCACCTCCGGAGTCCCAGGGGCAGAGGGTGGCACAGGCTCTGCCAGGAGCTGGGCTGGGCCTTGAAGGGTGGGAAGAACTGGTGGACGGAGAGGGTGTCCCTGAGAGTGGTGAGGTCTGGGCAAGAGTGGCACTGGGGCTGAGAGGTGTGTGTGTGCACACCTACCCCAGAGGAGCCTGTGGGGTGTGTTGGGAGGTGGAAGCTGATGGAACAAGAGGCCTGGGGGGCCAGGGTCACCCCAAGCAGAGGTTCTGAGGTGGCACTCACCGTCGGTGGCCTGCAGGCTGTAGGTGAGACCCAGCGCCAGGTAGCCCTTGGAGAGAAACTCCCCAGCGTCCTCCCCAAGGTCGATCACCATCGTGGCAAAGCGCTCGGCCTCCTCCAGCTGCGAAGAGGAGAGGCACAGTTCACTGGGAGGGCTTCATTGGCCTCAGCAAGCAGCCCACTCACAGTCCCAGCCCCGCTCACTCCGGACTGCAGTTCCCTGTGTGCGCAGCATGACCAGAGAGGCCAGGCGGCGTGGCTGAGGCCACACAGCCAGAGTGGAAGGATCAAAGCTGCTGCCTCTACCTGTGACTCCCAGGACCTCTTTACCCACCCAGGGGCCTGCACTCATGGCTGAAGGGCACTACGTCTCTCACAGAAAGCGTCCCTCACCCCAGGGACCGCCGCCTCCCATCACGTGCCCTGCTGAGAGCATGGACCCAGGACCAGGCCAGTCTGTGCCAGCTCCTTTCCTCATCTGGCCTCTGTGGGTCCCTGGGTCTGTCCCTGCTCGGCAGAAGGAAGCCCGGGACAGAAGGTACAGGCAGGGGCCCGGGACTGGCCTGAGGGACACTGCCCACCCTGCAGAGTGGTCTGGCTGCCACTTCTGCTCTGCCAGTGGGCTCACTCCCTGACACAGAGAACTCAACTTCTGTGGGGGAAAAGGCCTGGGGCTGTTTTTGTCCTATTCCAGCTGGAAAGGGACCAATTGGCACAGGTCACGTGGGCTCACATCATCATATACAACACGTGACACAAAAACAGGGGCATCCACAAGGCAGGCCTCCCGAGCCCGCTGGGTGACCCCGGCAGGCAGGCCAGTCAGGGAGGCAGGGGACAGCTGGTGGCCTCGGCCGTGCCCACTCCCAGCCCACAGGCCTCTAAGAAATGCCCCCTCCCCCCTTGCAGGCCCAGGAATGTTAACTGCCTACATGCTTGGCGTGGCAGGGTACCCAAGTCTGTATCACCAAGAATAAAGAAGGGGGCTTAACAAATCATTGCCAAAGCCCACGGTCACGCACAAGCCACCTTGTGTGGGTGTCTTCTCCCAGGAGAGTCCCATGAAGTCAACCAACCAGGGAGCAGAGTCACACCTAGGGTGGCTTCTAGTGTGCTCTGCCCCACTGGTGTCCCTGCCTAGGCCCAGCCCCACTCCCTTGGGAGAGGGGCAGCTCTGTGCGCCTTGTGGTCTGACCACTGGTCACAGCTAGGGTAGAGGGGACAATGGACTCTCTCTCTGGAGTGTATGGTTGAGATGCTGAGACAGAGCCCGTCAGCCTGGAGAAGTGAGCTGAGCTGCGTCCACCATCTGGGCGTAGCTGTGTGAGCTGCCTGCAGGAACAAGGCTGTCGGAGCCCAGAACCCAGGCAGTGAACAGAGAGGGAAACAGTAAAACCAAGTCCAGCAGAGCCTGAGCGGGGAGCTGACAGCCTGGACAGATAGCTGAGGGGGGCTGAATCCCCCCGGGGCCCAACCACCAGCCCTGACACATGCTGACCAGGGTGGTGGGCAACCTCCAGTCTGACAGGCTGGTTATTAAAAAAAAATGAGGGAGTTGGGGAGCTGGGCCTCTGACACCCTCAGAGCTGAGGGGCTGGGGTTCAAGGGGAGGCAGCAGCTCAGGAAACCCCACAGCTGCCCGCTGCCTGCTGCCCAGCCCCGACTAGCTGGGAAGGGCCAAGGCTGGAGATGCTGAGATCTGTCTCGGAGCTCCTGGCTCTGCAGGACTCGGGAGGGCTAAAGGGGCCTGAAGTCAGAGCCAGGCTGGGAGGAACACACAGGCCGCTGGACAGCAAGCGGCTCTGATCCTGGCTCGGCACCGAGAGCCATGGGACCTTCAGCAAGTCACTTAGTTTCTGGGCCCAGAGATCCTCATCTGCACGGCGTGGAGTGGCCCCCCTCACTTTAACTGCTCCTCCTACAAACCTCCACGGAGACCTCTGCACGCCAGACTCTGTGCTGGGCCCGGCTGAGGCTGCCAGTGGCAAGGGCGCGGGATGCCCAGAGAGCTCACACGGGACTCTGCGGGCCGACACGAAGGAGGGCAAGATCCCACAGGACAAGGTGGCTCTTAACTAAGGCTACACTGGGTGAGGCTGGCACGGGACACGGGAGCTTTAGCAGAGGGGCCGTCATGTGGCTGGGGTTGACCAAGGAGGCCTCACGGTGGGGGTGGGGGGCAGCAGGCATCGCAGGAAGGGTGAGTGAGCAAATGGCGCCTTTTCTCCTTCCTCATATCCCACTGCAGACGCGACTCATCACACAGTCTTTGAGCCTCATTATGCCTCATGCAAAAGGAATAGGCTTTTTTATAAACCTCCAAGTACGAGTTATAAAAAGAATCCAGAAACCTACTGCACTCCAAGTGTAAACACTCTCCCCAAGTCCTTCTACTCGGCCAACTGCAGCCTCTGCCTCCTGCAGCCCACGTAGAGAGGGTGCTGGGAAGGAGGCTCAGCGGTGACGGGCAAGCTGGGGGAAGTTACCGCCCAGTTTAAGCACATCACATTCTGGATTAATAGAGCTCACCATCCTTGAGCTTTAAAAAATGCAAACATACATCCTTGGCTTGTCCACCTTGTGGTCCACTCTGACCCCAGGCCCGCAGCCTTCCACCAGCACTACTTGCCAGCCTGAAGTCCACACATTTAAAACGATCACTAAGCGCGGCGTGTTTTTTAAAAAGATTTCATTAATGTTTTTAGAGAGAGGGGAAGGGAGGGAGGAAAAGAGGGAGAGAAACGTCAATGTGTGGTTGCCTCTCATGTACCCGCACCGGGGACCTGGTCCACAACCCAGGTGTGTGACCTGACTGGGAATCGAACCCGTGACACTTTGGTCCACAGCCCATGCTCAATCCACTGGGCTACACCAACCAGGGCAAAAATATATGTATTTAAAGAAAAAAAATATATGTGTATAGAGAGAGAGAGCGCGCGCGCGAGCGCGTGCATGTGCGAGCACAATTCCCCTTCACCTAAGACAAGAGTCGGGATTCCCAAAGCCCTTGAGAACGTGGCTTTTCCACCTTTGTCCTGGGGACTATAATGCAACCTAAGTCCAGAGTCAGCTCCACACCCACGAACAGCTCTCCACACTCTGGGGCCAGACTTGCTGGGCTCAATCCCAGTGTGGCTATCTACTGCGTGACCTGGGGCCCGTCACTCCATTTAGCTATGCCTCAGTTCCCCCTTCTGTGAAATGAGGATAATAATTGTCTGCTTCATAGGGCTTCTCAGAGCACATGGTGAGTGCTCAGAGCAATGCCTGAATAAGCATAAACTGTCATTATTAGTTGTAATTTTATATCTATAATTAGTTCAATCTTCCAGGATTTTTAGTCTCAACCTGATAGATGTACGAGTGCCATCTGACCAGAGCCCTCCCCTGTACTACATGATCGCAGCGACAAATCAAGAAGTGACATCAAAGACCCTCCTGAATCCAGAGAGGGAACACAACTGTCTGCCTTTGTCTCCGCCTGATCTTTAGTCTCCATAGAGGAGCAACTGCGGGAGGGCAGGCTGGGTCTCCACAGCCTTGGGCGGTCCGCTGTGCCAGGCAGCCCAAACCCTGCCCCCGGCCGATGGCCCAGGTCGCACACACACATACCCATTGCCTACCCCTTGTCCCAGCACTCACCCCCACTGTGGGGCACATGTGGATATTTTCTATCCTCTCCTCTAACAGTCTGTTTCCATTGTTTAAACAGTTCTACTTCACAACCCACCAATGGGTGTCAACCTGGGTTGAGCTGCCAGCGCCTGCCCAGCGTCTGCCCACCTACGCCCACCCTAGCCGTATCTTTCTCCCATCCAGAACCTCATTGGTCCTTTCTAACCTCCAGATGCTTCCTCCTGTGGCCTTAGAAGCAACTGCGTGTAGCTCTGGAGCTGTGGCTCCTGCTTCTGCAAGACCCGCTCAGGCCACAGCACTGGGCCCTCCACGCTCATCAAAATACTTGTAGGATGAGGGGCCTTCAAAATTTTTTTTAATCACTCCCTTCCCAATGATCCACTGCCTTTAATGTCTCCTTTACCTGTGGCAGGCATGTAACTTTGCACAAAACCCAGGTGGAGGTCCTCGGCCTCCCTTGCAATTCTAGAGCCAGTTGGTGCTCACCTGACCTTTCCTGGCATGGTGGCCACCTGGTGGGACAGGTGTTTCACAGTTGAAGGTTCTGACGTACAGGGAACTCAGGGGACCCACCCAAGGTCACCTGGCTAGCAAGTGGCAGAACTGCGTTTCCAGCCCAGGTCTCCTGATCTATGTCTGGCTCTTTTCTGAGCTGCCTGATTCATGGCTGCCCTCTGTGCTTCTCCCCCTTTCTCCTCTCTGACCCTCTGGGGAAAGATGCACTGGAGGATGTCATGCTTTTTGCTTTCCATAAGTAGGAAAAATGACTTCACAAGTTCCTGCATCTCTCCAGTTGTCCTAATTTGGTCCCCACCTAAGACTGGCTTCGGTTGCCCATACTGCTCACGCACAGGCTGCCTCCAACCGCCAGGGCTGCCTCCCTCCTCGCGCAGTGGGCCAGAGAGGTCCCTGGGGATCTTCACCCTCCTCCTCCCTTCCTGGGAACTGGAGAGAGTCACTTCTGAGCCTGCAGAGCTTGTTTAAAGAGCACCTCCAGTCTCTCCCTCAGCTGGTCCCACAGGGCCCGAGACCTGTTGTTGTCTGCTCCACGGAAAATGCACTCTTGTGCTCCGGGGAGGAGCAGGCACTCTTCCTGATCCCCACAAGCGAGTGGCGGCAGAGCTGCTGCTCTTTCTCCCCTGCCTCATCAACACCTCATCCCTCTCCCTGGCTCTGCCCACTCCTGAACCTGAACAATGAAGGCAAAGACATAAGAGCACATCCCTTCTGGGAGCCTAATCTTTGGAAGAGGCTGTCTCGGGGACAGCTGCCATTTAACTGGTACCTGCATTGTGCTAAGCAGGGACACTCCTCAGTCTGGTGTTTCCAGGTTACAGGTGAGGCACAGCGAGGGTGAATCACTCACCTAAAGTCTCACAGCACTAAGTGGGCAGGCAGGGATTTGAACCCCATCCTTTCTGCCTTCAAAGCTTGCACTCTTTCTACTACCCACACAATCCCTGCAGGCAAAGAGGCCCAGAGACAGTACCACCCAGGAGGAGCACGGCCTGCTTGTTTCATAACCTCCTCTCCTTCCCTCTCTGTGCGAGGCACACGGTACATGGGCACTAGCCCACCTCCGTCCTCTTAGAAAAGAGTCGACGTTTTAAATTACAGGGATTCTAAATAACTGAATTTGAAGGGTTATTAAAAAATATTTACACTTCCCTCCTCTTCTTCTGCCCCAAGTAACTGGCTGTGGACCCTGGTAGGATGCTGGCCACGCCAAAGCAGGCCACACACGACTGTCACCAAGGGGAGCTTGAGGCTAAGCCTCCCGCCCGGTCCCCCGGCTGCCCCAGCTGCTCCCACCCCACTGCAAATGCTTTATCAACCAGCATGTACCCATCCCTCCGCCGCCCCCCTCCCTACCCACCTCCAGACCCAGAGCCAGCCTGGGACGTCCCACACTGGCTCTGGCTCTGGCATACAGGCAGGACGAGGGGACAGCAGGTGCTCCGCCTCTGGGCACACGGCCACCCAGTCCGGTTTTATCCAGCACAACACGTTTTTCAGATGTCCCAGTTTCAGCCTCCCTTCCTGCGACCAGGCCAAGCTGCCCACCCCTGGATTTCTGTCCCCTGCTGACAGAGCTTGGCAGGGCGACGGCTGGGCCTGCCGGGGACTGACGTGAGTCAGCACAGCTGGGAAGGCAGGGGACAGAGGTGATGTCGGACGTCTTTCAGGACCCGTGCCTGCCCCAGCACTAGCGCCCCTCTGTGTGCGGCAGTCAGACCCACTTTTCCTGCTGGAAGCCTTGCTAACAGAGGGTGCTGGGCCGCCTCTCCCCTGGCCTCCTTGGAGAACAGTCTGCCCTCAGCTACCAGCAGCCTGCTCTCAGCCCAGCAGCAACCCAGGGAGCCAGGGGGAACCACTGAGCCAGATGCACACCCCCCACGCCTGGCCCTCCTGGCCAGCTGGGGCAGGCGTCGTTCCGTAAGATTTCAGTGAACACCTACTATGTGCAGGGTTCTGTGTGGGGAAGAGGGGCTCAGGGGGCAGGACACAGTGCGTGAAGAAGCTCCCCGTCTAATTGGGAAGGCAAGTTCCATCTGAGGCAGAGCCCGGTGCCCTGTGCCTGTGCTCATTAGCAAGTAGGATTCACCCAGTGAGCACCAGGCATCAAGCCTGGGCTGGGGTGTCAGGAAGGAGGAGAGACAGGCCCTGCCCTCAAGAAACACCAGTGATGACCCTGTGAGGTGCTAAGTGTCCAAGGCAGGTATAAGCGAGGCTTAGGGAGCTGCAGAGGTGAGGTTTTGGTGTGGGAAGGCCGCCAGGCCCGCCCCCGACCCCACAGGACCCACCCTAGCCTGCACCCGATTTCAACCCAGGCTCCAGCCTGCCCCCTCACCCAAATATGCTCTCAGCTGAGGTTAAACAGCTCACCCTCCTCCCCAGTTCTGATGACAAGTCTGCGTGTTTAAGTTTCCTTTCGGGCTTTTCTATTTATGTTGTCATTGATTACTTTGCTCCTAACTCATCTGATTTCAATTTGGACTGATTTGATCCTAATTTTATTACCATGTAATCTGAATGCACATAATTACTGTAATTATGCTGCTGAGGGAAACAGCTCCTCCACTGCGGGAAGCCCTAAATTTAGGACTTCCTGGCAAGGGCGGCCGTTGGCTGGGTGGACCACAGACACCTCGGAGCTGGCAGCCTTCGGGCGCGCAGATGCCCTCCCCCGCCCCACCTCAGCGAGGTGGGTATTTTGGGTTTTATCCCAGGGATGGGGTTGAGGCCCCTCTTAGGAGCCCCAGGAATGTGTAGGACTGTGAGCTAGGGGTTGGCGAGCCCACCCTCTCTGTGTGCTCCAGCTTGTACCGCCATCCTCTGCGGCACTGCTCAGTCTGGGTGGCTCCTTCCTGCCAGCACCCACATGCCACCCACATCCCAAGGCTGCTCTCCCTCTAGGGTGCAAGATGCCAGCAGTCTCCCTAAAAAGACTTGGGGAGCAAGAGGTTTCCCTACTAATCATGGGGCTGGGGAAAGCAAGCTGTGACAGAGGGCTTGCCACTGGCCTGTGTGGATCTCTCCCAGAATTCCAAGCCTAGTCCAAGGCTGCCTCCTCCAGGATGTCTCCCTGACCCATCCACCTCTCTCCATACTTTGTCATTTATATCACCCTCACATACACAGCAAGATGGACAGGTCCTCGTCTCGTGCCCACCTGCTGCCATCCTCCTGCAGGAAGCCACCAGGACCTGGGCCCGACTGGCTGCCCTCAAAGCTCACTTACCCAGTGCAGGGACCCGATGCAGACCTTGGCGGCCATCAGGGGCACGGTGGGGTCCGAGGGCCGCAGTTTCACACACTCCCGTAGCAGCGACACAGCGTAGGCCCACTGCAGAAGAAAGAGCAAGCAACGCCATCACACGCAGCCCCAGGTAGCAACTGACCGGGCACTTCCTGCACAGTGGGGGAGTCCCCAAAGTGCCAGTCCTCGCTCTGCACCCCTTCCCTCCCAAGGGCCAGGAAGAGGGCCCAGCAGGAGCCCAGGCAGTGTGGGCAGGCAAGTCCCTCCTGGGCTTCTGTTGCCTCATCTGAAGAATGGAGGCTGTGACCCTTGCCCAGAGTAAGATGACAGCAGCAAAGGGGACAACAGGTGGAAGCTCTTTAAAAGGAATTCAGATATGAACCCCATATACGTGAGGGGTGGAAAGGGGATCTCTTAAACCTCTGAGCCCACTGCTCTCGGGTGAAGAGATGATGAGATCAGGCCAAAACCACGTGGGGACGTGGAGGCAGGGCCGGTGGCAGGGAGTGGGGTGGGAATGTAAAGGCTGGCAGACAAGGAGAGAAGCCAGGGTGGCAGAGCCAGAGAGGACCTCCAGAATGGGGTCCATGGACTCAGCCATGGAGACGGGTCACGCTGGGCCCACTGAGGGTGGCTGAGTGTGGATGGGGGGCCAAGGGGAGAAAAGCATCCAGAGCCAGGCAGGGATACAGCTAATCACGGCAATGAGAAGAACACCAGCAACACTTATCTAGATCTGACTACGACCGAACACAGCTGTAAGTCGGAGGGCCAGACTGGCCCTCTGCCTGCTCCTGTAAGTAAATATTGGAACTCAGCCATGTCCACTCAGATACGTCTTATCTGTGGCTGCTTCCATGGTGCTAAGGCAGAGCTGAGTGGTTCCCACAGAAACTGTTCGGCCTGCAACGTCAAACATGCAACTCTCTGACCCTTTAGAGAAAGTCTGCTGACCCCTGTTCCCAGTGCTTTATAAATATTAAGGCATTTGATTTTCACAGCCTCCCATAAGGCAGGTGCTACGTCCCTATTCGCAGATGAGGTAACAGAAATGTAGAGAAGTTAAGTAGCTTGTTCAAAGCCACAGTGCCCACAGGTAGCTGGGCGGGGGGTTGAATAGTCTGGCTCTTAGCTTGTACCCACTGCCCTGCCCTGTCTCTGCAGAGTTTATCTTGGCCAGAGAGGATGCCTCTGTGTCCCCCTACGCCCCACACATACTCACTCAAGGCTGGAACCTTTTAAATGAGTCCAGTACTTTTCCATAAAACTCAGCAGTGATCCTCCCCACCCACCACCCCGTGTGTACCCTCCCCTTCCTGTGTGAGCCCCGGGTAGGCAGGGATATGTGCCTGTAACTTCGACAGTTGTCACGTGCGGGCCCTACCGTGGGCTGCGCTCCTCACCACACTCAGCTGTCTCCCTCCCTGGCACCTCCAGAGGGGATGCTGAGGAACCGGGGACTCACCCGGCCACAGCACGGTGCGAGGGACTGGCCAATGCAGACCTTCCTCTCTTGCACTACCTATCCTTTTGCCACTAGCTAAGGAAAAAGAGCTTTTCTCAGCCTAGATGGGATAGATTTCCCTGGGCTCTGGGCTCAGGCTTATTAGGCCCATACGGATGTCCCAGCTAATGGCCTGCTCTGTGCCCAGCACTGGACAAGGGTTAGTGGAGTCTCTGTGGGAACGGGGAAGAGGCTCTGGCTCTCGGCTGTCAGGACGGCTGGGAGAGCAAACACCCCCACCCCCCACTGCTCTCTCAGGAAACACGAGGACCATGCACAAGAAGAGGGTGTTAGCAGATGACAGGCTCCGACAGGCTGGGAGATTGAGCAGGGTGCCCTGCGCGGGCTGGAGCAAGGGAGGCTGCAGGAGGTGCTTGAAGGAGCTGCCAGGCCATCCGCCTCCTCCGACACCCTGTCCTGGGAATGCTGCTCCTAGCACTCTCAGCACGGTCCTTCTGGCCACAACCCCAGCCAGCTTCAGGGCCCTTCCAGGCTTCCTTCGCTGGCCGCTGACCTCTGCATCCTTAAAATACAGCCTTCTCTAACCCTGGCGCCCCAAATTCACATCTACCCCTGCACAGACCACGAACGCTGCTATTTAAGGAGCCATCTGCGGACTCCACAGTCAGAGCAGCCGGCTCTTTTCTTTCCTTCTTTCTTTTCTTTGTCATGCTGGTTACCTAGCAACACAGCCAATATGCTTGCTGAGGAGACCAAAAGAAAGAGCGGCCTAAATCATGCCATGGAACTCATCCTTTCTTCCTGCAGGTTGAAGTGCCAGAGGTATTTATATCTGCCCAGTCTCACCTCCTAGAAGACCTTTTGGGCAGAATCACAGGTACCGAACCTTAGGATCTTAGAAACAGCCAGGTCTGGCCAACCAGGCCGACCGACCTGGTGGGCAGGTTCCTGAGGGAGATGGAGGGTGTGCTTCTGGGACAATCCCCTGCGGCACCCAGTGCAGCAGTGGGTGTGGCCCAGGGTCTCCGGCCTCCTGTGTGAGGAACCCACCAATCACCCCACTCCCCATCTTGAGCCCCTTATCGTGTGCACCTTGCTGGTGTGTGAAGGGGCTGGGCCGGGACACCAGCTCCTTGGACCCCAGGATGTGCCAGGCTGTGTGTGGACCCCTCCGAGCCTGGTTCTTCTCAGTCGGGAGGTGGAAGCCCCATCCCTCCTGGGCTAACGTGACACCTTCTCCTGAGCCTGGGGCCTTCCAGGGACAGCCGCAGAAATTAAAGCCAACTCCTGCGTGTGATACGTTCTTCTGAGCAGAGGTCCCAGCTTTCCTTAGCATCTCACAGAGGCCCGTGACTCACAGAAGGCTGAGGACCCCTGTAGCCTGGGCCTCTCCTTTCTGGTCCACGCTCACTATTACAAAACTAGGGGCATTTTTTCTGTTTCCTGGGGATAGGAAGAAGCTGTCACATGCCACTATGAGCTGCCGGCCCAGGTTCCATGTATGCTTCAGCCCCTGCTCCTGCTTCCCCACCTCTGTTCTGGCCTCTCCCTGAGCCCTGACGAGGTCCTGCTAAGCATGGAGCCAGGGCACAGCCTGCCTCGGCTTCGTGGGGGAGGGGAAGAGGTTTGAGACGACAAGTGCCAGGCAGGGCGGGGGCAGGGGCAGGGAAGGCTCCCACTTGATTCTCGGCTGTATTTCCCACCTGCCAGGCTACAGCACCTGCTCTTCCTTCCCTCTCCCTGCCAGGACCCAGCCCGTACCCCCTCCATTCGTGATGGAGGAGCTGGCAAGCCTAGGAGGGCCCCCCCCCCCAGACGGCTGCGGGGCTAGAAATGGCAGGTGGCACAGATGGGCGGGCGGGCAAGGAATTCCCTCAGCCCCATGAAAGGGCCCTGGGTGTTTACAGCTCTTGGAATGATCTGCGAGCTCATGCCATCTTATTTCCTGCCTTCGAAGCATCCTCAGTTCCAAGAGCCCCAGCACCCAGCCCCGGAAAGCTTTTCCGATCATGTCACTACTTAAAATAGAGGCTTATGTAAGTGTGATTCTCACCCGAGGAAAAATGAGGGATGCTGAAACAGGGCTTGGTGGGTGGAGAGCACATGCAGCCCTTCAACCCGGGAGATGGTCAGTTCCAGGTTCATGGGCAGGTCCTCTCCTGACTCCACGCTCCGTGGGGGAGGGGGCAGGAAAACAGCTACAACCCCAATGAAACAATGTTCCCCTTGCTGGAACCTACTCCCCACACCTGTCTCCTGCCGTTGTACCTATCAGTTCACCTGAGGAACTGCCCTGATGCCCCATGCGTGCACACGTCCTCAGAAAAAAGCACCCCCAGATGCATACTTGCACACCTGGCACACTCGTAACTCACGTGTGCACACTGGATGCACACAGGGGTCTGTGCGTGCCCTCCCACGCCCTCACAGTCCTGGAGATGAAAATCAGCTGCTCGACAACATTTCTGAACACCCGCCCGCCTGCCTGCCGTCCCCCGCCTCTGGGAGGGGCCCGGGGAGAGCAGAGGCCCCTGGGAGGGATGTGCAACCCAGCCTTACCTTTCCACAGGCCACCATGGAGAGTGCCACTTGGTACCAAAGGTGAAACTCTCCACATGCGAACTTCATGGCCCGCTCCAGACACTGGGGGAGGGGAGACATCTGGTCAGCACCTCCCTGCCGGGACACCCCCAGCCCAGCCCAGCCCAGCCCGCTCTTCCAGGGAAATCACTGCCCAAGTCGCCGCCCTCAGGAGCCTGCGGGAGGCCCGGGCTTAGTTCTAGTTAGGAACTCCCGGGGAAGCCTGTCCGTGCGCCTGGCATGCTGTGTGATCCCACACAAGTCTCTCACCCCCCTCTGGCCCCCACATCCACAGCACGTGAATGATCTCGCAGGGTGATGGTGAAAAGCAAATGAAACAAGATTTGTGAAAGTGCTTTCAAAATGGAGACATCCAACGAAAATGTGAGAGCCGACATTTGTTAATATTGCGCATGGTGCTGCTCTCAGTGGTTTGCACGTTTGAACTCATCTACTCCTCCCGACCACCCTACGAGGTGGGTCCCCTGATTCCTTAGATGAGGAAGCCGGGGCCTGAATGACTTGCCAGTCATGGGGCCTGGAAGTGGCAGAGCAGGCCACCTGCAAAGGTGGTGGTTAGGATGCCGCCAAAAAGTAAAGGCTCCTCTTTATCCTGCTGTTTGTTCTCTACGCCCACCGAGAAAACCCACCGCTCAGCTGGCCTGGCCAGTCCTGGGGATGCCTGGTGAGACCTGACAGTCCCCAGCAGAAGTGGTTCCAGGGGCCAGAGGCAGAGGCTGCCAGTGTATGAGGAGAGGATTCCCGTGTGGCCACGGGAGTCAGGTGCGGTGGGGGGCAGATGTGGGGCACAGGACCAGACAGCATGCACCAGAAGAGCTCAGCGGCCTGGGTTCACATGCTGACTTAGCAAGCACTCCCTGCGCCTTCTCAGGCAGAAACCAGCTCTCTGGGCCTCGCCTTCCTCGTGGTAAACTTGAGAGAACACTCCTTATCCTTCCACATTAAAGTGGGGCATCACCTTAGAAGGTACCATGGTCCCCCCTTTCAGGAGCCCTCCGAAACACATGGAAAGAGAACCCACCACTCAGCGGCTCATCCCCATCACAAGAAGACAAGGGCCCCCAAAGCCACCTTGATCTCAGCTTGCATTTGAAATCTCAAAAATGTGTGTACCATGTGCCTTGTGGGCAGGGCAGAGGAAAGGGGGAAGCTCAGTACCCCTAGTCCCCCACCCCAAAGAGGCACCGCCCTGTGGGCACAGCCCAGGGAGCACTGTCCCAGCAGGGTTTGCCCAGCTGAATGGGGGTGTCTGTCTACCCAGCTTAGAACCCAGCCAAGAGAGGATGCCACGAAACACCAGTGTCATCTCTGGGGGAACTGAGGGATGCAGTTTTCTTCTTGTGCCTCTCTGTACAATGCTATGTGTTACTCTCAAAAGAAAAACACATAAGACCATTGGTAAAACCAAAGACCACCCAGCCAGTGAAGGGCAGCTCCCTGGGCACTGGAGAAGGAACGGTCCCAAGCCTGGCCTCCCCAGGTCATAGCTGCGCCCTGGGTGGGGGCAGGGAAGGGATGGTGGAGGGGGACAGCTGGTGGCTCCACCTGGTTTCCTCCATGCCCCATCTGAGCCCCGGCTGGGACGGGCCGGCCATACCTCAGAGAGCATGACATACTGGCCCCTCCTGCCCAGCGTGATGCTCAGGAGGTCGTAGATGGTGGCAGCGTTCTGCAGGCTCACCGCCCGGTCCTGCTCCTGCTCCGGCGCCCGGCTCAGCACCACATCCCGAGTAGCCTGTGGGGGAACGTGGGTTCGGGAAGGTGAGGCCGGAAAAGAAGCCTGTCCCCACAGGGCCCCTACCTCCCAGGCCCAGGGGCTGTCGCACTTCCACCCCTGACCCAGGCCAGGCAGGCGGCCACCCGCCCAGAAACAGCCAGCTCCTCTCTCTCTCCCACACGAAGGCCCTGTCCAGAGAGAGAAAGCCCTCCCCTCTCAGCCCAGGCTGGCACGAGGGAGCCACGCTGAGGGCTCGGGCTCGGCTAGGCAAGGCAATGCTTTCCTCTGCAAAGTTTCAAACCTACAGGGGAGCTGCAAGTCTAGAAGCATAACAGTAAACAGGTTAACATTCACTGCATTTGTTTTGTTTCTCTCTGATATGTAATAACAATCATGATGATAAGTTAGAGCGACAGGACCCTTTACCCCTCAACACGAGAGGACATTCTTTTTAGAACCACAACAGAGACACCAAGTCAGGGAACTGACACTGTCACCACTATCGCCCGATAGCAGCTCATCTCCAGACGGCCACCCGTCCCACTGATGACCTTTCTAGCCGTTTACTGTTTCTCACTTCAGGATTCAAGCCAGGGGCATGCCTTGCACTCGGGCGCCGTGTCGTGTCTCTCTAGAGGCCTTTCACCCAGAGGAGCCTTCAGCCGCCCCCTGCCTTCGGGACGCCGGCCGTGTTCAGGAGTTAGACCAGCCGTTTGGTGGAAGAGCCCCGTGTTTGTACAGCGATCGCTCACTCACAGAAACAGCTTCAGAGAGCACGTGGAATTGTCTCTGCTGCTGGATCACGGAGGAGAGCTCAGGCTGTGGGCCCTTGGCGCCCCCTTCTCTTCCCAAGGCCCTCTGATAAGGACCCCCATACCTCCTTCCCATCACCCACAGGTCTATTCTTGACTCCCTCCAACCATGGAGGTCTCTCCTCTCTGTTCCTCCCCAAGTCATCTCCCCCAAACTTGAGGCCTCTGCGCGGGCGTCCGGAGCTCAGGAAGGAGTTCAGTAGCTCCGAGCTGCTCAGGAGGGAGGGCCGCAGTCCGACGGGGGAGCTCTGCTCACCGAGCCCAAAATCTCACCATCAGGGATCCCAGACCCTCTTGCTCTGTGGCCTGTGGCCTGCGGCCCTACCTGGGGACTCATGCCTGGGGACAGCACTCGGGCTCAGGAATAGCTGAGCAGAAGTTATGGGGGTTTCTGAGCTGAGCAGCAACAGGGCAGGGACCCCGCCCCCAACACACACACGCTGGGCTGGGCTGAGGCAAAGCTGAGTTCTGGCCGCACGCCCCCACTGGCTGCTCCCAGCATTCTCCCCTCTCTCACCTGTCCTTTGGCCAAGGGCTGTCTTCCCAGCATCCCCTACCCTCTCTAGAAGGTCAGGACCTCCTCCACACAGGACCTCAGACCAAGGACCGGCCTTCCCGACTGAGTAAAGGGAACCGCTGGCCCTTAAAAGCCAGATCCCTCTGGTCAGCTCCAGACAACTCCCCCCACCATCACAGATGGTCCTCACCTCCTCCCCCTGGCCAGGACTGCCACCCCCCCCTCCAGGTCAGGGGCTAAGGCTCCCACATGGCTGCAGAGGCAGAAGCCCAGTGGCTTTTGTACTGCGGGCTCTGGATGTCCTGCTGTGCAGACCCGAACCATGTTCCCATAAAGGCCTCTGGAAGTCAAAGGGCTTCTAAGACCCAAGGAAGTGACTCACCGGCAGGGGCATTTCAGGCAGAAAGCAGGCCAGTGGCCAGGGCTCCACAATAGGCGAGAGCTGCCCACCGCCACCATGGACATGGGCCAGCCCTAGGAGAGGGCACGGGAGGCCAGGAGACCCCCAGAAGGGCTGAGCCCTGGGACCAGCCTGGTAAACAAGAGCAGGTCAGGAGCGCGAAAGGGTTAAGGGAGAGGCGTGGAGAGAGAAAGTGCCAGAGAAACCCCCGTCTTCCTGGTGAAATCCACCCACATAGGCACCAGCAGGAAGGGAGAAGAAAATTTAAGGAGATGCTTGGCAGGAGCTGCTTCACCGAGCTGAGGAGGAACACGAAACTCCAGAACCTGCTCTGTGCCCGGCCGTGTTCCTCCCCACTCCCCCACCTCCAGCCTCACCTCCAGCAGTGCTCCAGCCCCGGCTGCCCAGGATGGGGTGGAGAGGCAGCTCCCACGAGGCAGCATTCGGGGTGCAGGTGCCAGGGAACGAGAGGATTGGAGACACGGCCCCCACTCTCAGCAGCAGCACACGGGCGCGTGCTGCGTGGAACCTGAGCTAGGAGTCGGGTGGGAGAGTGGTCCTGATGGAGAGTGGGCAGGGCAGGCAGCCTGCAGGGCGGCTTTTCTGTGGGGCGTAGGCAGAGGTCTGGCAGGGCACATCTCAGATCTGGGGACCTGCCCATGTGGACCAGTCCCGTTCAGGGCAAGTGAGCAGCAAGAGGTCAACAAAGGTCTCAGCTCTGGTTGGTCTGTCCTTGAAGAGTAGCCCCTGCCAGAACCCAGCTCCCAACCCCCTCCAGACTGCCCCAGGATGAAGTCAAAGTCCTCCCAGCCCCCAAGCGGATGCCTCCTGCAGCTCTGTCCTCACGCTGCGGCTCCCCATCCACCCCACAGCGGATCACTGTTCCCTTCATCACCCTGGACGCCTGCTGCCTCCTCACCACCCAACGAGGGTGTCCACCCCCTCGGTGACATCCCTGACTCATCTCGCCAGGCGAGGCTGGACCCCCTTGTCCTCCTCTAACACTGGGCACCCACTGCAACTCTCACACATCCAACTGGTTCCCCAGTTCTTGAGGCAGGGACATTTCTCTAGACTCCCAGGCCCAGTACAGGCTCATGCAAGGCACTTTCCTCAGTTCACGTGCGTGGAATGAGTGATACTTGAGAGAGAAACATTTCTGGGCCGAGTGTGGGAACTTCCTCCTGTCTGCCCTAGACCTTGACCTTTAAGAACACAGTGTCTCCTAATGTGGGCCTGCGAGGAGGGGGGGTGGATTTCTAGCACACTGGGAAGGAATTAGGTCATAAGAACAGGAACAGAAGAGGGGGTTGCAGCAGCATCTCCTCTGCCGAGAGCACCTTCCCAGGGGTCCTCAGGACGTGAGGCCTGTGCCAAGAAGGAAGCGTGGTTCCCCAAAGGAAAGCCGAAAGCAGAAGTTTGCTCTGTGGTTGCTATGGCTCCAGGCAGGGCTGCGGTGAAATGCTCCAGTGCTTGCTGGGCTTGGCCTGTGTATGTAACCATGGCAACAGGGTGGGGTGGGGGAAATGGGGCAGAAAGAAGGAAGCCTGCACTGTTGGGGGAGCAACAGGATCAGATTCAGGCGCAGGGCAGGGGCCAGAGCAAGCCTCAGAGGACAAGGCCCCAGACACTCTCGAGGGCTTCCCGTCCCTGCCCAGGGCGCCCCAGCTGCCCCACTCCTTCCTCCCCAGGGGGCTCACTGCCATTAAAGTCCCACAATGCTCCTAGCTCCATCAGGAACCTGCCTTGAGCTAGTCCCAGTCACACTCTTTTCCTTCCACCATTTAAACGGTCTCACTAGAAAAATTTCTCCAGATCAAAAGCAGCGATCATTGTGAATACGTCCGTGACCCTTAAAGCAATATGGACTCTCAAATTTTCTTCTCACCATCGTGGACCTTACTAGTCTTGGAATCATGGCCGAATATTCTCCCCTGGTTTCTCCCTGCATAACCCCCAGGCCCACTCCAAGGCCTCCAGCCTCTGGGCATCCCCAGCTCTTGTTTAACCCATGCGTTTGATCCCAGGCAGGGCTCATGGGACTGTCCCTGCTGCTAGTTTGGATGCTCTGCCTGTCCTTCCAGGGCTGGCCTCCCCCAGACTAACAGACATTCATCCCAGGCCTTCCAGCAGGTCAGAAGAGACAAAGCCAAAGAAATGTGCTTCTCCATATATCCCATCATCACGGCCAGCGTGAACCACATCTGGTCTCTGGACAAATACCCAGGAAGCAAACATGGGCCTTATAAGAAGGTCCATGAGGGATTGTGCATTTCCCCATGTGGGCCAGCCCCTGGGAAACGTAAGGCAGGCAACTGCTATTCAAACAGCCATCCCTTCTGTGTGTGACACGCACAACCTTTCAGGAGCTGAATTTTCATGTCCGTCACCTCCTCTGGCCTCGTGGTGACCCCATGGACAGGCAGGATGAAACTACCGTGGGCCCTTCACAGACAGGGAAACTGAGCGCCGGAAGGTCCCAGGAGTTCAGACTAAGCCAGTTCAGGGCGGCTTCTGGTACCCTGTGTTCCTCCTCTGCCAGCCCCGGTCTGACCCACCCTGGCCCGAGAGTAATAACCTTCTCTTCCGTCCAGCCCTGTCTTTCCTCTCTAACCTTGGGCGCAAACAGGGGAGGAGGAGGAAAGGGAACGAACCTGTGGATGCTTTGTAAGTGGCTTCTCTTAATTCTCACAATGACTTTCTCACATACTAATGTCCTATTTTACAGACAAGAAGGCGGAGGCCCAGGGGCGCCAGGGAGTGCCCCAAGGCATACAGACAGATGGCTGGGACGCAGATCAGAGCCTGGACTTCTGGCTTCTCTCCCTGGCTCTCTCCTGGCCTCCGGGCACCTCTGAGAAAGTGCCCAGTAAGCTTGCCCAGTTCATCAGAGGGCCTAGCATGTGTCTGCTTATGGAAGAACCCAAGCAAAATCCAAGGCCAGGCTTTCCCGACCTCTGCTTCTTTGCGGAGAACAAGGGCCTCCGGCACTGTGGCCAGGGTCCCGCTCAGCCCTGTTCTCAGACACGGCCTCTCCACTGGCCAAGGACCCAGCCTCAGGGCCTCCTGCTGACACCCCGAGGCAGCTGCCCTGGAAAGGAGTCTCCCCAAATCATCTGTGCACGGCACCTGCTACTCCTCAGAGGACACTGCCATGTTCCACTTAGGCTGTGGTCCCCCAGTGGAAGACATAATTACCACCGGCTTTCGAGCTGCCCATCCAGAGCCGAGAAATAACATGCCCTGTGACGTGTCCCATCTCCCAAGGCCCCAGGCCAGGCCCACGCCAGCTGCATCAGGCTCCTGCCGCAGAAATCACAGCTCTTCCTGCCAGCTCGGGCGAGAGGCTCCCCCCGCCCCACCGAACTGAGTGTTCCGAGCTGGCAGTGTGATCAGACCCTTTCCCGTCGCACAGCCGGCCTCGTGTGAGAGCCGAGCAGGTGCCAGGAGCTGGAACAGTCTGTGCTCTTCTGCCGAGTCCCACATGGAATCGAGCCCAGGAAGCACTTCACTTATTTATTTTTTTAAACCAAATGGTATCCTCAAACCAATTTCTCTCCCAACCAGATCCGAACCTAAACGTTTTCTAAAGTGACTAAGTCAAACCAAGTATAACACAGGCACGTGTTGGGCACCCGCAATGTCCCGGGCACTTTCATGATCATTTTCTTAACCTGCTCAAGTCCCTGCAGGGGAGGCCTTCTTAGCCCCATTGTACAGATGAGGAACCTGAGGATCAGGAAGGTAGGAAACTTACTCAGACCATGGAGGTTGTGAATGGCAAGTTCAAGATTCAAGTCGCCAATGCCTGGCATTGGGTATGGCCAAGAATCAGTATGTAAGGTCCACCCCCGCATCACTCCCCACGGGGCCTTTGCTGCCCCTTCAGTTCCCAAGAACCTGACACCAGCAGTAACCTTTCCAGCCGCTGATGAACAGGGACCCGAGGATGCCCTCTGCTGTCACACATAGTTCTATGCCCCAGATCAGGATTTTAGAAACGGCCAAGGTTCCTGTACCCCCTGGTTTCCCAACTGTTAGAGAAAAATGGAGCCGATCTTGACACATGGTTCTTTTAAAACCGAGACTATGCATTTGGGATTCAGAAGACTGGAGTTAATTCCATCTGACTGGGGGGCCAGGATTCCCTCCTTGGCCCCGGACAATACCCCGCCGCTGGGAGCACAGGTGGGACAGGTCCGAGGAGCTGCTCCCCACTGCGTCTCCAGGGCTGAGCGTGGCCTGGCATGCTGCCCAAACAGGACCGGGCGGAGGAGAGATGGCTGTGTGGGGGAGCGGACTTTAAAATGCTCTTTTGGCCCCAAAGACTCAAAACTGAATCCAAAACATAAATCTTCAACCAGTTACAGCTCACAGCCCTTGCGTTTCTGTGGAAGCACCTGCAAGATGTCCCTTTACCTCTTGGAAGACAAGGACTTACTCATTCTGATCATACTCAGTCGGCCCCTAACACCACATCCCAGGCACCAGCCCCACACGCAGATCCCGTGCAGGCTACTCCTCTGAGCTCCAAACCACAAAACTGGGGCTGCTGTGTGCAGGGAGCGTGCACACACCCCTTCTTGGGGCAGCTGCCCAGGCGATCCTGGAGGTGGAGCGCTGGGATGACACCTCCCGGGCTGGCTGTGCTGAAGGAGTTTTCACCGCAGCCTAATGAATTCTGTAGGTATGAGGGGAATCCAAGTAGCAGCCACAGCAGCCCACTGCTGTGCTAGAGGTTCCTCCCTATCACCTGCATGCAAACCCAGCCAGCATTAAGGGAGGCAAGGAAAACCCTGCAGGCACATGGAGGCCAGACTGAATCTTGGTTCACTGTAAGGGTCAGAGCAGGAGCCTGGGAGGCTCACACAGTGACGCCCACATCTGCCTGAGCATGTGACTGCAGGGACGGAGGGTGGGCAACAAGAATGAGAGAGAAGCCAGAAGCGGCGTGGTCACTCTGAGAAAGTGCTCTGAGACACAGCCAGATCCTGGGTGGAAAACCTTCTGTAGATGAGACAACAAAGCTAAGTCCATTGCCAAAGCTCTCCCTCAGACTGCTAAAGTATCTACATGTGTGTGACAGGTTGGGTGTGAGGAAGAGGAAGCCAGCCAGGCAGGCATCCCTGGGAGAGGTGCCTCCTCCCAGCTGCAGTGCACCCAGCATCCGAGCACCTCCTCTGCTCTGCCTGCTGCGGGGAATTCCCAGGACGCCACCTGGCCCGCAGGCCTGGACCCTCTGAGTCTCCTGAGCAGGCCAGCCAGCCACACAGCCTTGCGAAGAAGGGAAAGAGCTATGTGGAGGGAAACCACACATTCAGGAAAACTCATCTTGGCTCCGAGTGTGGGCCACCTTTTAGCAAAAGGCATTCTTTGCCTTGTTTTAGGGCAGCTTGAGGGTTTGGGAAGGAATAGCTTTACTGGAAAGGCATCTGAACTCTGGCCCTGAGCACCCAGATCAAACAGAGGCCACAGAAAATTCGTGGGGAGACAGAGCCCAGCCTCGATCCCGGCCTGTAAATAGCTTCCAATAGCTTTGGAAGCTATTTAGGGAAACAGATCTGATTGGAATCATAGTTGCAAGGATTCTAACAATGTGACCTTGACGGAGACACGTACCTGTTCTGGACCTTACTTATCTCATCAGCAAGCGGGGAGCTTAACTATTACACTGAACCACGTGAGACTGTTCGTTTTCCTAGGACCAACACAGTGCCTGCCTCTATGTGGTACCAGCTTGGAACCGGGTAGAGAAGGACCCGAGACTGTCCCTGTTTCCCCTTTGACCTCCCACCTGTGGACCACACTGTAACCCTCAGCCCAGGAAGATGATGATAATGACCCCTGTCTCCTGAGACAGGCAACTTCAGACCCCCCTCATCTGAGGGTGTAAGCGGTGAGACAGCTAACCGAGGTGTGCGTAGGGGACCCGGCGGGGACTGGTCTACGTCTGACATTCCAGAAGTAGAAACTGGGGTTCAGTCTGCGGTGAGAGTGAGGGTCCTTCTTCCGTGGAAAGCGTGCTGTTCTCCAGTGAAAATCGGGTCTGGCACTTGGTTCTGCCATTGCCACATCAGGCTAAGCAGCTAGGTGTCCCCTCCCTGCAGCAACCGCTTCCCCCCTCACAAGCCCACACCCTGCAAACCTTTCGGGACCGCACCCTGGCCAAGTGGCACTCAGATCCAAATACCCACGCCCTCCACCAGAACTCCCACATCTGCGTGGAGCTGGCTGTGGAACGACACACTCTCGTGCCCCCAGCCCAGTGTCCCTCCTTCTGCTGGAGGACCTGTTGAGCCGAAGATAACCACTGACCCAAGTCCTCTAAACCAGCGCTGGCATCGCACGGTCCCGGGTGTCCAAAGGAACATTCATATCAGGCTGCTCAAGGATCCAGCTCAGGAGGTCTTAGATTTTTAACCTTCACTTCTACACACTGCCATGAGATGCATCATTTTTAAAAATTGAGTTCTCAACCTGGGGGTCCCCAGCTCACAAGCTCCGAGGGGCCCCTCAGCCAGAGGACGCCCCCACATCATACCGTATCGATGGCACCTCCACACCTGGCCTCTGCTGCTCCTGCCCTCCTCCCCCACCCCTGGGACCAGTGCAGGGCACCCACCACCCCACCACTTCCCGGACCACCCAACCACACCTCTCTCCTCTGCCGAGCCTCCCAGGCCCAGGCCTGTGTGTGTGCTCACACGTGCGTGAGGGTTTGCGTGTCTCCCTGCCCAGGCCAGGGAAAACGGGTCTCATGAAAAAGGGAAAAACTAAAGAGCACTTCACATGTGCTTTGTCCGGCACATCTTTTCCCCCCACTGCTTTATTTTTCCATGGTGCGCAGATGCTGGCGCCCGGCACATTTTAGCAGTTAGTGAATTTATTCCCCCACCCCCTCACTAGAATGTAAGTTCCAGGAGGGCGGGGATTTCTCTCCGTCCAGCTCTAGCAGCAAGCACGTGGCCTGCCATGAAGTAGATGACGCTTGATAAATACTTTTGTGAACACATGAGTTCCTCTTACGGGCACACTTACTCTGGAAGTGACTCTCACTGCATGGGTGAGGAGCTGAGGCTCGGAGGGGCTAGGTGGCTTGCAGAGGGCCCCCAGGGAGCGGGTGGCAGGGCTGGGACCTGAGCCCAGGCCGTGCGCATCGGGAGCGCATGCTCCAGTACCGGCCCCAGACCCAGCACAGGCTGTTGGGTGCACACTGCCGACTTGCTGATAACCATCGCTTGTAATCCCAGAAGAGGTGGGTGGGGACTCGTTAGCTCAGTCTTTACTCATTTGGAGGCAGGACCCAGGCTCCCAAATGCAGCCTTATGCACCTGACCCAAACCTTGCACACCTCACCCCTGAGTGTGTGGGGGGAGGGCAGACCTACGGATCCTGCTTCAGGGATGTCCTTGGGAGGCGGAACTCAGCCGGGACCTGGTGGCCTGTGCTGAACCCCGCAGCCCTACCCCATGGGGCAGAGCACGGCCCTGGAGCTTACCATGGACTCGCTGATGAGGAGCAGCAGGAGGGCTTCCTCAATGTTGTCCTTTGGGCAGTAGAGGCTGCAAGACACAAAAGGCGGTGTGGCTGCAGCACGGCCCCACGCAGCACCGCTGGCCTGCCACACCTGCCACGCTGGCCCTTCTGCCCTGGAGTCAGCACCAGCCCCCGTAAGGTGACCCCCTCCTGCATAATTCACGGGCACCGGATACCACCTGCAGCCGGTAGCATGCCCCAGAATTACAATCTGAAAGTCTGTTGTGGGTGGCCGGGCTGGAAATGCTGCAAATGCTCCTGGGGAAGAAATGGCCCCTCCGGTGCCCAGCACTACATGAAGAGGCTGGGGCAAGGACCTCTACTGCGCGGTCACAGACCCCACCTTCAGTTACTGGCACAACAAGAGAGATGGGGTAGTAAGCAAGACAGACAGGAAGGCCCCAAATAATTTGTGTGGCCTTGGGATGCCCTATAGGAGTCTCCTGCCAACCCCCACCTGAGACCTGCCTTGCCTAGTCTACTTGGCTCCTGCTGACCCTGCAGAGCCTGCCTGGCAGCGGGCTGGGTGGCGGCTGGAGGAAAGCATGGGGCAGAGAGAGGGCCCCAGCAGGGCGAACCCTGGGTGTGGGGTGAGGCAGGTGTGGTCCGGCGGGGCGGGCAGAGCTTACTTGTCTCCTTCATAGAGGTGAGGTTTCCGCAGGGCCTGCATGATGAAGGAATTCTCCTCTTTGCTCATGAACTCGGGCAGAGGGTGGGACAGGGGGCTCCAGTAGCAATCCTCACTCAGCGAGTGCAACAGGACCCCAGCCAGGTGCTTCGCCGCCATCTGGCAGAGAGGGAGGCTCAGACCCAGGCACAGGTCGGCTCTCCCCTGATGTGGCCAGAATGCCCTCCACCCGCCTCCCAACCAAATCCGCCGGCCTTGTGAAGTGCTGCCCCTCCGGGGGGCCCCACCACTCCACTCCCATGGCCCCCTCCAGTGCTGAGGTTACCCAACCTTCCCATTGGCTTTCGATGTGGCTCCTACTTGACCACTTATCCTCTTTCCTCTCCTAGACAAGAGGTGCTTTCCCCCCTCCTCCCGGGCCTGTGGAGCCTGGCACAACTCGGAGTGTCCACAGGCCTTTGCAGAGCCTGACGCCACAGGCACAGGCAGCTCTCGCTACTCAATACCTTTCTTAGATTTGACCAAAAGTTCTAGAGTGAAAAGCAGCTCTGGCTCTGATCTGGGGTGACTGAAAGCCCAAGAAGGCGAGCCTGCATTGGGCAGCAAAGCAGAGTCAAGGTTATTTCCTACCGTCAAAAATCCCTAAGAATTAGCCCACCACCTCGCTAGGACATGGTGGCCGTAGGTTTCCACTGGCCCAAGGCCAGGGGCTCCTGCAGGGCTGGGGTGAGAAGGGTGCTGAGGGCGCCTCCCAGGCCCAGCGGGAAAGCACCGAGACTGATACACAGTGTGCGCCACGAGCACCAACGGGGAGAGTGAAAGGACGCATGTGACGTATTGCCATCCCTGATTCAGGCAGGGGCTGCCCGCTGGGACCTCTGCTGTCTCCCACTGAACTTGACCCCTGAATAAATCAGCTACAGCCAGCCCCCAGCCCCGGCCCCAGCCCCCAGCCCCGGGGCCTCCTCCACGTTACCACTTTGAAGTTCTGAGTTGCTTTGGTCTCCACCGTCCGGAGGATCTCCCGGAGCTCTCTCATGCCTTTCACGATGTTCCTGGTGGGGAGACAGCACGGGCAGGGTCACTCACTCCCAGCCTCGTCCCCCAAGGACATCCTCATCAAGCCTGCAGACACTAGGCGCCCACCCGAGTTTTATTTGAAAACACTATTCAGTAATTGGAATGGGAGGTCAGACTTGTAACACTAGGACCCCAGGAGGCCAGGACGTCACCCATCAAAGAAGAGGGGGACCTTTCTCTCCAGGTCCCCTGAAGGAGACCAGGACCAAGTGTTTCAAACAAGACGTGATTCTGGCCCAAGAGCCTTGGGCTGCTGGCAGGCTTTCTGGCTTCAGTCGGTCTCAAATGCCCCACCTTCGCTCCCTGCAACGGGCCAACGCTAGGCTCGTCCTCACCTCAGTCCCATCCACCCGGACCCAGACTGGCCTGCGTCACCTCGGGCCTGGACACCCGCCCTGACTAGTCTCACCCCTTCCAGTCAGCCCTCTGTGCCTTAAAAAAAAGTGTGACCCACAGTAAAAAAAATATATTTGACGGTGCAACCCAGGGTATGTACACATTCCTTACACACGACTGAAGCAAGTTTCTTGACATGACCTACCTCTACTACCTGCGGTCCACGCTAACAGTTCTATTTTACATCTCCCCCACCCGCCCTTTTGAAACACATGGGCTAAGGCCCACTAAATGGATCTTGCAACCCGCTAGTGGGCTGTGGCCTGCGGTCTGAAACACTGCTTCTGCCGTCCCTCGAAGGGTCTACCCCACGTGCAAAAGTCATCTCGTTCCTCCCCAGGCTGGCCCTGCTGCCGGCACCCTTGGGGCTTACGGGGTCCGGTTTCAGCCTCCAGCTGTTGGGTCTGCCTCCCGGCTCTCTCCCATCTCGTCGCCCACCACTCAAGTCCTTTCTCAGTGAGCGGCCACGTCAAGGGTGGGCGCAGGCTTCTCACACGGCCTCCAACAGCCTTTCCTGTACGTATCCTCTAAAACCGTTCCAATATCACTTCCTTCTCGCAGCCTCCCCAGGCCCCTGGCCACACTGCATCACTCTTGCACCCTGTTAATTCCTCTTCTGAAGCTAGCACGACATTTTTCAGTCATTTTCTGATTACAGGCTGGCCCCTGGTGCCCTAAAGACTCCCACCTGCTCCAGAAGCTCAGCCCTGGCACACAGCACGTGCGCGGCCAGTGTGTGAGGGCCACTCTTCTCACTGGTCCTAGGGCTCCCCCGCGTCATGGTATATAAGAGAAAGCTGAGGCTGACAGGCCCGTGAGTTAAGACAGATCACAGGGGGTGAAAAGCAAAGGCGGCAGCTGGGAAAGTCACACGGGCCCCTCCTGCAACTTTCACACACACGACGGATTCCTGGGGGCCTCGGGGGCTGGAGCCGTGAAAGGACAGGTTTGTAGATCAAGCCCTGTCTTCTGGGGCCTCTGGTTGCACAAAAACAAGTCCCAAGTGTGCAAACTACCAGCATTAGGGAATGCAGGGCCTTGTTTGGGAGGCCGAGGGTAGAGAGGAAGACCTGTGAGGTGGAGTCAGAGTCACGGGGACCCTCTCTAGTCCACCCTGAGCTTCTGAAACACGGGAGGGGCCAGCGTCCATAGCGTTCTTGGAGACGGTTCGAGTCTGACGCTGCTACGCATGGCCAAGTGGCCCAGGGAGGCAGGCGGGCTCACCCCTGTGGGCCGTGCGTGGTCTCCTGCTCTATAAAGTCAGGCCTGGGGTTCGGGCCAGCAGCTCCCAGACTTGTGCTATCTGCATACCGCATCTACGGTTTTCCTCGTAGCTGCATACCATCAGAGTTATTACTCATGTGATACTTGTCTTTATAGCTTTTTACTTCAGTAGCTATCTTATCTTAATCAAAAATACCCTAGCCCTGGCTGGTGTGGCTCAGTGGACTGAGTGCCAGCCTGAGAATCAAAGGGTCACTGGTTCGATTCCCAGTCAGGGCACATGCCTGGGTTGCAGGCCAGGTCCCCAGTATGGGGTGCGCAAGAGGCAACCACACATTGATGTTTCTCTCCCTGCTTTACCCCCTCTCTAAAAATAAAATAAAATATTTAAAAAAAACCCAAAATCATGGATTTGGTGTGCTAGTTCTTGTTATTATTATTATTAGATAACAGACATTAAATATAGAAGCACTTTTAAAAAGTTTGTGTATCACTTAAGACCGCCTTGTGTATTGCTAGAGCTATTCGCCCCATACTTTGAGAGACATTAGTTTAGACTGTAGGGTCTCAAAGTCCTCAAAGCCTCCGAACCAGCAGCATCAGCACCCCGGAAGCTTACCAGAAAAGCAAATTCTGAGACCCCTACCCCCGCTCCAGACCTGCTGAATCAGAAACTCCAGGGCGGGACCCGGCAACTTGGGTTTTATCAAGTCTCCAGAGCGTTCTGATGGACACTCGAATTGGAGAACCACTAACCACTGGGGTTTAGATGACCCCCAGGGGGTCTCCCATGCCACGAAGCCAGGTTGTAGAAGGGACAACCAGGCGTGAAACCCCCAGTTTCGCAGCCAGATCCTACATCTGTAACCTTGGGAAGGAAGGCAGCCCCTCTGAGTCCTGGCCTCCCCACGGGTGGCAGGGAGGCTCCTTAGCTGCCCACACGGCTGTCAGGAAGATGCACACACGAGAAGCCCCACGCATGCCAAGGCATGTGGTAGAGGGTCACTACATGTTAGTTATTTTCCTTTCCCCTTCTAATTTGGGTCCTAAGGCTCATGTATCACTTATGACTTAATTTGCCACATTGTTTCACATGGACGTTCAGGAGCTAATGAGTAGCGGGGAGGGGGCGCCTCCTGGGGAGATCCTCCCTCCAGCTTTGCGTCCATCTTCCCCATGCCATCACCCCCGCCCCCGGGGGCTGCGGATTCCCTGGTCGACAAACTACACCCAGGGACAAACTGGGAGCCCCCTCGAGTCCAGTGGGAAGAACTCACGGCAGAGGCTCTTTGGTGCCACTGAGACCTCTGCCTTCGGGAGGAACCCAGAGCTGGGCAACAGGCCACCACCAGGAGAGAAAGGACACAGAGCACACGAGCTCCCAGAAGGGCGGAACTGGCTGGCTCTGAGAACTCAGGCTGCTGGAGAGTTCCGCCCCAGCTGCTGGGCCAAACGGCTATAGGCTGAGATGGGGCTGGAGGCGGGAGCTGCCCAGTGCCCACCGGCTGAGGAGGCTGGTGGCTCCTGGGACCCGGGGGGTGACTTTCCACTCTGTGGGCTACCTGCCAGCCTCCTCCCTGGCAGTCTGGCCCAGGCTGCTACCAGGCGGCCAGATCCAAGAGGGACAGTGTCCCCATCTTCCCAGTCCTCCCTCTGCCTTTAGTCCCCATGCCATCCCCACTCAACAGCGCTGCCAGACCAGTGGCCTTGACATTGCTGGGGGCTTGAGAGAAGGGCAGACCTTCGGAGTCCCTCCTTTCCCCGAAGCACACATGACTAAGGAACTAGAACTGCATATAAACAAGGTCCCGTGTATTTTTACCATTTTCAGATCTACAAGGGATTCTGGTTATCAAAATAAGCTCTCAGGAATTCTTTAGCTAAGGAAACAATCACCCTCAGACACCTTTTGGGCAAATCCCAAATTTTATTAAGTGCACATAGAGAAAAACTAATACATAGGTTCCAGTGGCCTGGACTGCACAAGGGCAGATTTGGGCTCTCAGCTGGCGCTGACCTGTTCTGAAGGGCTGGGGGCACCCCTCAGCTCACCCCTCAGGGAAACGGGAAAGCAGATGGGGTTTCTCCCACCAGCCCAAGCAATCCTGCCCCGAGGTCTACCGTAGCCCGTGCCAGGTACAGCTGGGGCTCTTCCAAGCCTCGTGAGAGGCAAGCTTGAAAGATCTCTTTGTCCTGATCTCTCACGCTGACCTTTCTGAGCAACGCTGCCACTTTTAACAATATGCTAACAGGGCCTCAGACAAACCCTTGCCCAGAATCAGGTGGCACGTAGGGAAGCCAGGAAGCCACTGATTCCAATTCAAGTAAAGCCCCACTGGCCAGGAGCAGAAAGAAAGGAGAAGTGCACGCAGGGAGGGGTCAAGGAAACCAGCCCGTTTCAGGGAGGCTTCCGGGTGGGACGTGCAGGGAGGCGGCAAGCTCCTTGGGTCCCCTCGTCAGCAGTGGGCAGCAGTACAGAGTTTTCAAAGTGCTTCATCTCATTCAGTGTGTGCGGCTTTTGATGAGGCGGGTGAGGCGGGCTTTGTAATGGAAGGCACTCAAGGAATCAGTGTGGAATAAATACCCACCGGCCGCCCCCCGTTTCCCCAGCCTGTCACTCACCCAAGGGGCAAGGCACGCTTACTGCAGGCACGGAGATGTTCAGCTTTTCCTCCTCTTTAACTATAAAGACCCCTGAGAAAGACTCCTGTTTTTATTTTTCATTGTTTAAAAGATTTTATTTATTTATTTTTATAGACAGGGGAAGAAGGCAGAAAGAGAGGGAAAGAAACCTAGATGTGTAAGAGAAACACTGACTGGTTGTCTCTTGCTTGCTCCCAGCTGGGGACCTTGCCCGAAACCCAGGCATGTGCCCTGATCAGGAATCGAACCACCAACCTTTTGTTTGGCAGGCTTATGCTCAATCCACAGAGCCATACCAGCCAGGGTGACAGTTTTTCGACTTGGCATGGTTACACTTTCCTCTCTCAGCCATTAGAACTCCAGGACTCCCAAGACGCAACTGCCTGAGTCTTTCCGAAGTGCCCACTGCACCCGAAGCGCCTGGTCATCAGACCTGTTCTCAACAGGCGTCCCACAAAGACTGGTGGAATGAACCTAGAGACTGAAGCAGTGGACGAGGATCTCATTCACAGCCCTGCACCGAAGGAGCTCAGTCTGTTGTATTCGCCACATCCTTGATGCATTCAGAGCCTAGCAAAGTGTTTTGCATACAGTAGGTGCTCAACAAAATAATTTGGGGGCTTTAATTTGACTTGAAACACAGAATAAGAAACTTCATAGAACTTAGGGCTGAACAGAACCTACACAGACAGCAGGGCACACGACCCTGACC